CTCTCTCTCTCTCTCTTTCTTTTTTCTATAACTCCATAAAGTCCCCTCAGTGCTGCCCACAGGTCCATGGATGTGGGGCTATCCACTAGCCAAAGCATTGTCTGATCTGTAGAATTGTGACACTTACCTTAGAGGACACACACCAGCTGTCCTCTAAGCAAGCATTCTGTTCAAAGCCTCTGCAGCAGTTTCTAGCACGTGATAGGTTACTTTCCAGGTCCAGTTCCACTAATCACGTTGGGTAACAGTTTCAGACTGGAAACCCAGGTCATCGCCCTCTTTTCGTTCTGATGTAACTCAGGCAGTTGTTTGCTGTTTGTCCTGTTGCCCCTGTTTCCTAACTCAGATTCCAGTAAAACGCGCGTTGTTTCCCTTCTGTCCTTTGTCATTGACCGCGTGAAAGCATTACCTGTGTTTGACCTTCCCGTAAAACACTTTCTTATGATTTACTTAGAAGGCTTTGGAAGTTATGATAGAAAAGTTAGTCCTGATAAAAAAAAAAAAGGAGAAAATGTCATTTAGACTGAAGTGGTTTATACATGCAGGAGAAGTGGAAATATAGCATTTGAAATGGTAGAGAATTCAAGCTGCTGACACTGAAAGGAAAACATGGAATTTTAAAGCTCATGTGATAATAACCACTGTGGTGAAGTGTGATATTTTGAACTTACTGTTTTCCTTGTATCTTTATTGCTTTCTCTCCATTCAAAAAAAATTACTAAGTTCTAAAGTTACAGGAGGGAACAGTAGTGACAATGGCAACAACCACCACATCCACCTCATTTTCTACAGGCCCAATATAGTAAGAATTTTTTTTTCTTTGTGTTTTGGTCATGCTGAGAATCAAACCCATGGCCTACCACATACTCAGAACCCATCTTACCAGTGAGCTACATACCTTTGCCACAGCAGTAACTACATTATCTCAGCTTCAACGTCCTACTGGCCTATCAACTGTCTGTTTTACAAGTGAGGACATAAGGCCCAGAAGTCTAAGTGACTTGACAGCTAGCAAGAGGGGAGTCAGAACTCAAAGGCAATCTGGCTCTGAATTCATGAACCTCACTATGAAAGATAGGTTGTGCTGTGAATTAAGGACTTAGTTCAGGTCACTGTCCCAGAAGAAAGCCAGGAAAAGCTATTCAGACAGTGAGAACCAAATTTAGAGTCAATGCCCTGTAAAGGTCTGCCCCAAACTGCAATTTCTAGGAATTTTGCAGATTTTGAGGGGTGCGGGAGAACAGAGTGGAAGAATAGTCATAAAGAAAGATCAGAAACGGCCGGGTGGTGGTGGCGCACGCCTTTAATCCCAGCACTCGGGAGGCAGAGCCAGGCGGATCT